AGTTTCCTGGCCTGGGGCTTGGGGCTGCCCTGGGGCCCCCTGGCCGGGAAGGGAGGGTGTTGCCAAAATGTGGACACGCGCAAGAGGAGCCTGCTCTGAACTGGGACTTCCTCTCCAGAGGGAAAAGATTTCTCCCCGGGGCTGGATTGAAGGATGGGTCTTCCGACCACAACACTGAGGGGAAATAGGGGACAGAGTGGAGGGGCTTGGGGCTGGGGCTGGTCTGAGCCTCTCCGGGCTGTGGCTAAGAATAGCCTGGGAAAACTGAGCAGAGAAGCAGCTGTCTGGGTGCTGTGGTGAGAGAGGACAATGGGTGTTTGGGGCTTCCCAGTCGCAAACAGGGCAAATGGACCATGGGCCTCCAGTTCACCCAGGGCAGATGGGGACCTAGTGTCAGGTGATAAATGAATGGGGGGGGGCTGCAAGTGTCGGGCCTCCAAGCCGGCCTTGGTCCTTGCTAACCCCACAGAGAAGGGCCACAGCACAAATAGTGTGGGCAGGCGCTCAGAGTCCAGGGATCCCCGGGGCTAGGCTCAAGATCATTGGCCTGTCCATAGCCTCCCAGGCCAGCCTGGCAGATGTCCAGGGCCCATACTATTCTGTTACTTTGTTCTGTCCACCCACATGGTCCTGCTGGCCCTGTTGTCCTTGAGGCGTGTGACTGGCAGCCAGGTCCCACCCCCACGTTCCCCTCCCCCAGCCAAGGCAGCTGTCATGTGTTTTGTACTCCTAGGGGGTCGTGTCCTGGAAGTGGGCTTTGGTATGGCCATTGCGGCCTCCAGGGTACAGGAGGCCCCCATAGAAGAACACTGGATTATTGAATGCAATGATGGCGTCTTCCAGCGCCTACAAGACTGGGCCCTGAGACAGCCACACAAGGTACTGCTGGGGTGGCAACCTGGGAGTAACCCCCATAGCTAGGAGATCCTGGGGACAATGTGACCCAACCCTTGCAACCTTCTCTCTTGTCCTTTTCCCTTCCAAGGTTGTTCCCTTGAAAGGCCTATGGGAGGAGGTGGCACCTACACTGCCTGATGGCCATTTTAATGGTGAGGGGGCTCTGTGAGCCCAGCAAAGGGGCCAAGCTTCAGGGACTGTGCTGGCCTCCGGCTCCTTCTTGGCAGCCTGCGCCTACCATTGCACTACCATAACCTCTTTAGCTTGGTGGGGCATCAGGAATGAGGGTCTGAGTTTGTTCCCAGGATTCACATGATGTAAGAAGAGAATGGACTCCCCCAAGTTGTCCTCTGATTGCATGTGTCCCCCACTCCCTACCCCAACAAGTGCACTTCCAATGTACCCTGGGGACCGAGCCCTTGGGAATAGACTACATGAAAACAGAGAGAGCAGGATTGCTAAGGACAGCTGTGGGCTGGTCAGATGAGGCGGGGCAAGGCTGTGTGTGCCCTCACTGGCAGGCATGTGTCCTCTGCAGGGATCCTATATGACACATACCCACTATCTGAGGAGACCTGGCACACTCACCAGTTCAACTTCATTAAGGTGGGACTGTAGGGCCAGGGGTGGTGGGTGGGCAGGGCATGTGACATCTATAGACTGTCACCTCTCTTCCCATGTTCCCTCTACCCACTCATGTGCACTGGCCTCTCTTTGCAGAAGCATGCTTTCCGTTTGCTGAAGCCTGGTGGCATCCTCACCTACTGCAACCTCACATCCTGGGGGGAGCTCCTGAAGTCCAAGTTCACAGACATCACCACCATGTTTGAGGTGTGACCACCTGATAGTGACTGGCAGTGACCTGTGACATAGGGCCCCACTCTGCTCATGGGCCTCGGGGGTCAGAGATCTTGACCCCTGAGTTGGGAATCAGGAACAAACACCCTTACTAGTTTAAGCCTCCCAAGGCTCCCCAGTGCCTCGGTACAGCCCTGCTCACTGCTCTCTACCCATGCGGCCATGCACAGGTAGAGGCTGATGCTCTTCTGGGCCTACAGGCTGTGTCTTCAACTGCCTGCCAGGTGTGCCAGGGCCAGCAGGACCCTGAATCAGCTGGGGCCCATGAGTCTCTCCTCTTGCTTGAGGCTGGCTGTGGGCCTGTGCAAAGATGCACGTCAGGGACTAGCCCCCAAGGTTACCTCACACCCAGACCTAGGTCCTCTCCCATGTGGTCTGGGGTGACTTGTGCCCCCTCCCTACAGGAGACACAGGTGCCTGCGCTGCAAGAGGCGGGCTTCCGGAGAGAAAACATCCGCACTGAGGTGATGGCACTGGTGCCGCCCGCGGACTGCCGTTACTACGCCTTCCCTCAGATGATCACACCCCTGGTCACCAAGCACTGAGCAACTGGCCCAGGGTTGGAATGAACGAGCCTATGTCCTCTTCAGTGCCTTGATGGCTGGAGTGTAGGCTCCAGCCTCTCAGCTATCTCTGCAGTGTGACATTCTGTCTGGCCCCACTCTCTTCCCACAGCTCAGGGGTAAAATAAATGCTAACAAGAATACTGGTAGCTTGGCAGTGAGCTGGAGGGACACATCTGAGGCAGAGGCAGCTAGTCCAACACTGGTCCCTGGTGCCCCCTGCCCTGCCCAGACATGACCAATTAACCACCGTCCGTTTTCAACAGGGAGCCCAGCCCAGCATTCATCAAGCCATGCAACAACCCTCACCATATCGCCCTACTCTAGAGATCTCTGGTATCAAATGCACTGATTGGCTCCACACTGTAGCCCACCCCTGCCTGGCCCTGGGAGTGCCTACCTCAGCCTGTGCCCTATACCCAGCTCCAAGAGACCACTCTGCTGGGGGAAACCCTTCTCACAGCCCTTCCCCAGCACTAAGGCCAAGTTCAGCATTTAGGGCAGGGACAGGCTGTTCTCTCTGCCTGGGGCAGAGCTTAGAGAAGCACATGGTGTGGCACACGCCTTTAATCCCAGCCCTTGGGAGGCAGAGGCAAGTGGATCTCTATGGGTTCCAGGCCAGCTTAGTCTACAGAGCAACACTCTAAGACAGCCAAGGCTACACAGAGAAACTCCATCTCAAAACAAAAAATTCCCCTTGGGCTAGTCTTGGGTCACCATGGTGTGTCACCCCAGTCCATCAGCTGGAAATGCCAGATCCCAGACCCATTCCTGTCATACAGAGGGCCCAAGCTGACAGCTACAGAGTGCAAATCTGCATGACACAGAGGCTGAGTCATGAAAGTGGACTCTAGGCCCATGTTCACATAAGAGGGTGTCAAGCTGGGTGGGCAGACAGCTCCTACAGGGCAGCTGGCCAGGGATGTCTTCTATTTAAGAGGAAACCCCACTGGCCTCACTTGACCACAAATGGGTGGTGACTGACGGAGCTGCACAGCCGGCAGAGATCAGTCCTAGCACACAAGCCATTGAGACTGAGGGGCCACCAGCCTCCCACTCCCCTCAGCCAGGCCCTCAAGGCCAGGAGTCTTCACAGAGCATGCATGCAGTGCATGTCCCATGTAACAGCTGCCTGCTGGGCCACAGTCCACACAGAGCACACACTGGGTTAGGATGGGTTTATTCACATTGGGATTCTGGGGCTGTGGTGTTTGGCCCGGCAGCTCTACCTGCGGTACCAGATCTTCAACTTCTGCTCACGCTTGATCTTCCGTTGCAGCTGTAAGATGCCATAGAGTAGCGCCTCGGCCGTGGGTGGACAGCCTGAGGGACACACACAGCTGAGACCCCACCAGCCCACATGGCGGACTCTCAGGGTACACTGGGGTTGGCTCTGAAGGGACAAGTGTCCTTGCTATTCTTGGCCTTCAGATACCCACTCCATTCCTGAACTGCTGGTGGCTCCACATAGAAAAGGGCCCAGGTTGTGACTCTGGTGACAGCCAGGTCCTCAGGAACAGTCCCTGACAGAAACTGGACCACTCGGGTCAGGGAGATGGGAAGGAAGTTTATGCCAAAGGCAGGGCGGCAGCTTGAGATTACAGGTCTCAGAATGCCAGAGGCCTCAGGAATGCAGCCAAAGAAACCCCACACAACCCACCCCTGCCCAGTTAGCTGGCCCCTGTGCCCAGCCATCTGCTGACAGCCCAGCTGGAGGCAGTGGCAAGTGACCACACAGGTAAGACAGACTGGGCCTGTTAGAAGGACCTGCAACTTAGCTAAGTCAAGACCCTTCCAGGGCAGCAAAGGGAAGCCAACATGCCCAGCACTCCTGGGGCGGTCAGGACAAAAGACAATGCATGTCACATCTGTTTCTCTGCCCTCTAGGACACGGGACATAAAGGTCCCCTACCCAGGCTGGCTCTGCAGCTTGGAGACAATGGTGGGGTAGGGTGGGGTGGCTGGCCTCACCTGGTACATAGATGTCCACTGGCACAATGCGGTCGCAGCCTCGCACTACTGAGTAGGAGTAGTGATAGTAGCCACCACCGTTGGCACAACTGGGGAGAGGGGTGAGGCAGTTCAGAAGCATATCCAACCCCCCCAACCCCCCACCCTGGCCCTGGGACAGGAGAAAATGCAAGGGCCAAACCCTACATCACAGATAAGAACTGGGTGGGATAAAAGGGGCTCCCAGAACCTTCCATGGGACATGTAGGATGCAAGTGCCAATGATAAACACATGGAAAAGTACCTTCAATCAAACCATTTCTGCTGATGGACCTGGGGTGGGACTGTGGGATCTAAGATGGCCTCACAAAAGTCTGGAATTCACTACACAGCAAGATGACCAGGGTTACTTGGCACTGGGGATGGAACCCATGTTCCTACATGTTGGGTGAACCTCTAACCCAAACTTGGTTCTCTTTTACTTTTTATCTTCTGAAGCAGGATCTCACTATGTAGTTCAAGCTGGCCTTGAACTCACAGAGCACTGATTGCCTCTATCTCCAGAGTGCTGGCCACCACACCCTGTTACTTTTCTTTGGAGAGATTGGATTCTCTGGAGTACTGTGGCAGACAGTTGGGATTCCAAGGGGGACCCTCCATAGCCTCCACTACAACAAAGTGTAGCGGCTGGGCTGGGACCTATGTAGTGCAGAGGCAGAGTGCAAGGTCCTGGGCGAGTCACAGTTGCTGAAGGAACTGAAGAGTGGGAGAGGGAAGGGGTTCTGGGACTGCCTGCAGCACTTTAAGTCTACAAAGACAGCTAACTGGGAGGAATGTGACACTCACCTCCCCATGGAAACCACATAGCGAGGTTCAGGCATCTGGTCATACACCTACAAGACACTCAGGTCAGGTGATGCGGGTGCCTGGGCAGTGGAAGGAACCAAGGGGACCAGGTATACCTTGCGGAGTGCAGGGGCCATCTTGTTGGTAAGCGTGCCAGCTACAATCATCACATCGGCCTGACGTGGGCTGGCACGGAACACCACACCAAAGCGGTCCATGTCGTAGCGCGGAGCAGCCATGTGCATCATCTCCACAGCACAGCACGCCAAGCCGAAGGTCATAGGCCACAAGGAGCTCTGTGAAGGCAGGAATAGTCAGCTGTGTGTCCAGGCACTGTCCCTCCACCAGTGACATGCTGCGGAGCAGGACCATCTGATGGCAACTCCCAGCTCAACACAGCCTCCATCTTGTGGGCACAGTGACACCGAGTGCTTGGCAGCAACATAGGCCTAGCTGTTGCTCTGGCTACCAGGAATATCCCCTCTTGGCATCCTTAGACTGGCCCAACTGGCCCTTAGAAATCGCCTAGGACTGGCTGCTGCCCTCAGTGTCCTCTGTCCACTAGTGCTTAAGTTCCTCATGAATCCAGCTTGTCTTGCACTTGCATCTGAGACCCAGCAGTGGCCCTGGGGCCTGGCAGATGTGAGGGTGCAGTTGGTGTCTGGGCTGAAGCGTCCCCTTCAACAGACTGCTGCCTCTTCCTGCCTGCTGCATTATCCTTGGGCCCCTATAGTAGGCACCTTGTTCTAGGGGCTTCAAGATCTAGCAGGGAACCCCCAGAGCCCTAAGCACAGCACAGGAGAACAAGGCAGGCCAGGGACATGCCATTGGGCAACTGTCAGACACAGGCTGTCACATCCAGGCATGGGAACCAAGCACAGCTACCCAGCAACTGTGAGCTAGACACCAGAATGCACACATAAGGGGGACATGGTGTAGGGACCACTAGGGACAGGCATAGAGATGGAGGCCATTTATGAGCTTTGTGGAAGACCTATGGCTCTCATGACTTTGCCACAGAGGTGAGCTTAAAAGGCATGTTGTTTTGTTTTTTGCTTTATTTTGTTTTATGAGACAGGGTTTCTCTGTGTAGCTTTGCAGACCAGGCTGGCCTCAAACTCAAAGAGATCTGCCTACCTCTGCCTCCTGAATACTGGGATTAATGGGTGCACCATCACCCTCTGGCCTTAAAAGGGATTTTTTTTTTTTTTTTTTTTTTTTTTTTTTTTAAGCCAGGCATAGTGGCTACTTCTATCCCAGCACTCAGGAAGCAGAGGCAGGTAGATCTCTGAGTGCAGCCTGGTCTACACAGTAAATTCTAGGATGGCCAGGGCTATGTAAAGACCTTGTCTCAATGAAAACAATAAATAAAAAGGCATTTTTATTAGCTGTTGAGCTGTCTCAATGAGTACAGGTGCTTGCCACCAAGCCTGACAACCTGAGTTTGACCCCTGGGACTCACATGGTAGAAAGAGGGGACCGAATCCTGCAAGTTGTCCTCTGGGTTACACACACTACACACACACACACACACACACACCCTCCCACACACACTCTCACACACACACACCACACAATGGTGCATAAGCATGCATATGCACACACTTATAAAAACAGATAAATAAATGTAACGAAAAAGAATTTAAGATTGATATTTAAAAAGAGACACACGCCAGGTGGTGGTGGCGCACACCTTTAGTCCCAGCACTCAGGAGGCAGAGGCAGGCGGATCTCTGTGAGTTTGAGGCCAACCTGGCCTGCATACCAAGCTCCAGGACATCCAGGGCTACACAGAGAAACCCCCGTCTCAAAACAAAAAAGAAGACACACACACACACACACACACACACACACACCAGGGCTACACAGAGAAACCCCCGTCTCAAAACAGAAAAGAAGACACACGCACACACACACACACACACACACACACACACCAGGGCTACACAGAGAAACCCCCGTCTCAAAACAGAAAAGAAGACACACGCACACACACACACACACACACACACACACACCAGGGCTACACAGAGAAACCCCCGTCTCAAAACAGAAAAGAAGACACACGCACACACACACACACACACACACACACACACGCGCGCGCGCGCGACTACTAAAGGGCCTAGTCATTCTGAGTGGTGGCTGGAGGGGCAGCTGGGACCTTGGGAAGGAGCCTCAGGAGAGCCCTGAGGATGCTGCAGGTCTGACCAGAGGGAGACTTACCCGGCGTGCCCAGTTGATGAGGTCATCCAGCTTGGCAACCACATACTCGGCCCGGTTTCTGGGGAGATGGGAGGGCTTGGGTACCACAGCTCCAGCTCCAGCCTTGGGCACAGCAGACTGTATGCTAAGGACAGAGTACGTGGGCATGGGGGAAGAGTTAGCCAGGTAACCCCATTGTCTTCTCTGGAGATCCTGCCAGAGCAGTTTCCCAGTGAGGAGGGATACACAGGGTCCCAGGACCTGGTCAACAGAGAAAGGAACAGTGGCCACATTTGGGAGGGAAGATTAGAGGCCAGGGCCACAGGTGGGGTGGGGTGGGGTGCAGGTAGCATCAGAGTGCAGGCCCTAGAATACAGCACCGGAACCTTTCCCCAAAGACTGGATTACCTGCTCGAGCCCTCTGTGGCCACACTCTGATGGACTCTGCACACTTGGGCCACTGTGTCTATGCTGGAGCTGCAAACAGGAACAAAAGTGAGAGGCCTGTTCCTTCCCACCATCCCCACCTGCAAGTGACTCCAAGCCACCCAGGGTCCCCTGCTCATCTTTGGGCTGCCCTGCTCTTTCCCAGATGTAAGCAGAGCCTCTTTACTTCTGAGAACACCAGTGGCTCAACAGGCTGTCAAATATCTGAGCCAGAACAGTCCTGAGGTGCTGTGCTTGCAGCCCAGGGGACAGCTGGTAACTCCCCTGGGCTGGTGACCTTCACAGCCTGGCCCTAGGCAGCCAGCCTGTAGAGGGACAGGTGGAGAGCTCACAGAACACCTTGCTGGGACTTGCAATATATGACCTATGAGGGCTTGGAGCCTGTGGACAGTGATGTCCTGCCTTTGTCATCGTCCCCACATACCATGTGAGGAGGACACTGCGACAGCCTCACTGAATCTGCTGGGCAACCTTTGCCAAGCAGTCCCTTCCCTGGACACTGCTGAGGGACCCTCCTGGCTCCGAGCCCTGAAGCTCCATGCTGCTCCCTGACAGTCAGTTAGATTTGTGACAGACAGGACACACACTCACCGGAGGCCCAGGATCCGCACACAGAGCAGACCAGGAGCTATAGAGAGAAGCACAGTGGCTTGAGTCTAACAGTCTAGCCCCAGGAGGGTCCAGTTCTGGGTCCTGGTCCTTCCCTGGAGGGCTCCAGCACAGCCTCCCTCTGACCCTTGGTTCAGACTCCACACCAAGGTGTCCTTCCCCTATAAGTCACCTCCCACGCCCCATGCACCCACGCCATAACCCCAGTCAGCTGCTCCTGAATAGCCTATCCTACATCTGCACACAGCAGGATGCAACCCAGGGATACTTTTTAGAAGGAACAGCTAGAAGCATGAAGAGAGGCATGGGTAGCTGTGAGGGCAGGATGGAGTCATGGGTTAGCACCCTCACCCTGGCAACTCAGAATGGGACGGTTTGCATGAGCCTCTCACCATGAGGACACTAAGATGTGCCCTGAGGGCTGGAGAGATGGCTTAGAGGTTAAGAGCACCAACTGCTCTTCCAGAGGTCCTGAGTTCAATTCCCAGCAACCACATGGTGGCTCACAACCATCCGTTATGAGATCTGGTGCCCTCTTCTGGTATGCAGATATACACGGAAGTAGAATGTTGTGTACATAATAAATAAATTAAAAAAAAAAAAAAAGATGTGCCCTGAGGTAGCAGGACTGGATGTTCTTGTGAGGACAGATGTGAACCAGGTGTGACGATGTACAAATGGTATTCGAGCACTTTGACTGCTGAGACACGTGGATTACATGTCCTAGAACAGCCTGGTTTACACACTGGAAGAACCCAAACAGCATTAAAGACATACAAACAAACAAAAAAGCAACCAGGGATATATAGAGATTAATACAAGAAAAACCTCCCTTGCCAGGCAGTGGTGACACACACTTTTTAATACCAGCACTCAGGAGGCAGAGGCAGGTGCATCTCTGTGAGTTCGAGGCCAGCCTGGTCTACAGCGTGAGTGCCAGGATAGGCTCCAAAGCTACACAGAGAAACCCTGTCCCAAAAAAACAAAATTAAATAAAAAAACAAAACAAACAAAAAAAAAAAAAAACAAATAACCTCATGAGGATACGGGGGAGATGACATCTGTGATCTCATGAAATCCCAGTCCTGTGTCAGCCTGATCTTGGACTCCAGCTTCAGAGAATATGGGGTAAATTTCTGTAATCTGGGGTTGGATGTGGAGACTCACGCCTTTAATCCCAGCACTGAGGAAGCAGAAGGTAGAGCTCTGTGAATTTGGAGTCAGCTTGGTGTATATATCAAGTTCCAGTCAGGCAGGACTAAGTAGTGAGACCCTGCCTTTGAGGAAAAAGAGGAAGGAGGTCTCATCTGAGACAGCCCTGTGTGACAGAAAGGTGGAACTCCGACCACAGAGGGCCTTCCACCGTGATTTGAGAAATACCCTGCCTCCAAGACCTTGGGTGGACAGCTGCTTACAGCCACTTTCCATGCTATCTATTCCTCTTGCCTCAGCCCTCCTCACTCTGACTTCAACCTTGCTAAGGGATACTGCTTCCCACAGTCATTACTGTGGCCTACTGCTCAGACCAAAGAAAGGGTCTAGACTTTCTGTCTGAGGGCCACATAACCTCAGGCTTTGGCCTGGCGGTTGTGGTGCACGCCTTTAATCCCAGCATTTGGGAGGCAGAGGCAGGTGGATCTCAGTGAGTTCCAGGCCAGCCTGGTCTACAAAATTACTTCCAGGACAGCCAACTGTTACACAGAGAAACCCTGTCTCGAAAAATCAAAGAAAGAAAGAAAGAAAGAAAGAAAGAAAGAAAGAAAGAAAGAAAGAAAGAAAATATAAACTTTGAATAAACTCACAGCAAAGTAAATGACTTACTAAGTGGCTGGGGTGCCAGCATCTGGCTTTGGTTTTAACTGCCACAGGGTCTCTCTATGTTGCCCAGCTAGCTCTGAACTCCGACCACAAGAGAGCCTGCTGAGCAGCAAGGACTGCATACAGGCACCACTAAGCCTGGCTTGGACCACACTTTTGTGCTGTCATGCTGGGAACCAAACATGCAGCCTTGAACACATTCAGGAGTGCTTCAACACTGGGCTACATTCCCAAGCCTTCTCCTCTTCCTGCTTGCTTACTTTTCTTTCTTTCTTTTAGAGGGGTATCAGTATGTACCCTTGGCTGACCTGGAATTCACTAGGTAACCAGGCTCACCTAGAACTCACAGGGGTCCCAAGTATCCTTTTGAAGCAGGGTCTCAGTGCCTAGTGATGACTGGGTTCATCAGCTTCCTGTCTCAGCCTTCCCAGGGCTGGCATCAGAAGCTGTACCTCACAATGCTCTACCAAAAGCATCCTCTTTGCTGCCCCTAATGTGTTAAAGAAAATTTGCTTCTCCTTCAAATCTGACTGTGGGCAGCGAAACACAGCAATTGGTAATAGGGTTTATTAACTGTTCACTGGCAAGTGCACAGGGGTCCTGATTGAATTCAGGAAACAGCAGTCAACACCACAAACCCATGCTCTCCATTCCTCATAGTGTCCACAACACAGCTGGAACTCCCAAAGGCAGGAGCATCATGAGATCATAAGTTTCATAGAACCCTAGGCCACACAGGAAGACCCCTTTCATTTTTTGTTTTGTTTTGTTTTTTTTTGTTTTGTTTTGTTTTTTTGAGACAGGGTTTCTCTGTGGCTTTGGAATCTGTCCTGGAACTAGCTCTTGTAGACCAGGCTGGTCTCGAATTCACAGAGATCCACCTGCCTCTGCCTCCCGAGTGCTGGGATTAAAGGCGCGCGCCACCACCGCCCTGTCGGAAGACCCCCCCCCCCATCTTAAAGAAAAACAAAACAGGGCTGGAGAGATGGCTCAGAGGTTAAGAGCACTGGCTGCTCTTCCAGAGGTCCTGTGTTCAATTCCCAGCAAACACATGGTGGCTCACAACTATCTGTAGTGAGATCCATATATGTAGGCAGAACACTGTATACATAACAAATAACTAAACCTTAAAAAAGAAAAACAAAACCACCAGACTGAAGTGGTGCACACATTTAATCCCAGCACTCAGAGGGCAAGAAGATCTGTGTATCTGTGTGAGTTCAAGGCCATCCTGGTCTCTAGCCTGAGAACCAGGACAGAGAAACCCTGTCTCAAAAAAGAAAAAAAAGAAAAGAAAAACCAAACAGAAACGCCCTAGCACTTAGAACTGGAGGGTAGTGGAGGCTGGAGGACCAGGAATTCAAGGTCAGCCTCACACACAAGAGATACTGTCTCAAAAATAAACAGTTCCGTTGGCAGAGTCCTTAGCATGCTCCATAAATGGACATGATGGTGCACGCGTGTCACCCCGGTCTCGACCTCGAGAGTTGGTGAACAGGGCCACCATCTAGGGGATACGACCTACGATAAGGTTCTTATTAACGGTCGCTCCGTTTGCCAGATTGCACTAGCGTTTAATCCCTGTATATAAAGAGGGAGATGACAAGGCTTCCACGGGGAAAACTGAGACATTTGCAGTGCTAGAGGCCCAGGCTGTCCAGGGCTGGGACGGAGAGTCCTGGGCCCCCTCCCTGTCCCTGTCCCGCGCGCGCTCTGTGTTTCAGGGGCATCAGGCGGGCTCCTGCAACCAATCTCAGCGTCCCCGGCTGTACTGTGTGAAACAAGAGGAGGCGGTTCATCGCTGACTGGATCCACGCGCACCTCGGCCCGACCCCAGACCCCGACATTATCGATGGCTGAGGGCTGACCCACATGTTTCTGACGTTCCGACGTCTCTCATTCCGGCGCTTCAGGCCTAAGGTTCCCGCAGCCCGGGCTCGCATCCCAAGACACCCCGCTATCACCCCGCTATCCCGAGTTCACGGTCCACTCACCCGACATCAACGCCATTTTGGCCTCGGCCTTCAGACAACCTCTGCGATCCGTCCTCCAAAGCGTTCCGGTTCTGGTCCTTCGCCCAAACAGGCACCGTCGGAAACCGGAGGAGTGAAGCGGAGTCGTTCCGAAGCGCTTACTGCCTGTAGTTGCGCGGGCGCAGTGCGCGCTCCCGGACTCCTGGGACGAAAAGGAAACCCCAACAAAAGCAAGAGCCTCGATTTGAGGGAAAAAGTAAGCGCGAGCGTCCCTGGGTGGGCTCGAACCACCAACCTTTCGGTTAACAGCCGAACGCGCTAACCGATTGCGCCACAGAGACAGCTTTGGCGAGAGTGCTCCAGTATACCCCTACGAGGCTTTGCACGCGGGCTGCGAAGTGCGCCTGCGCACACCAGCTCCACACGGGGCGGAGTCCGGGCGGGAGCAATGGCCAGCTACGCGGCCGAAATAGCTCAGTTGGGAGAGCGTTAGACTGAAGATCTAAAGGTCCCTGGTTCGATCCCGGGTTTCGGCAGGGTTTCTTTTTTCTGTTTTCCCCCTCTTTTAATGTATTTTTTTTTCAGTATTTGTTTCGTTTTAACCCATAACGCTGAATTCTTCCAGTCCGACATTTAATTTTTTTAACTATTTTTAGATGTTGGTGATCAATCTAATATTCTTTAAATTGGTAGGGCTGCCGGGCGTTGGTGGCACACGCCTTTAATCCCAGCATTCTGGAGGCAGAGGCAGGAGGATCTCTGTGAGTTCAAGGCCAGCCTGGTCTACAATGTGAGATCCAAAACAGCCTCTGAAGCCACACAGAGAAGAAACCCTGTCTCGAAAAACCAAAAAAGTTAAGTAAATAAATAAATAAATAGGTAGGGCTAAAGCCATTACTATATGAAATCTAAAATGTCAGGGTGAGTCGTTAGACACCTGTCATTCCAGCACTCAGAGAAGCAGGAAGATGGGTTTGAGGTCAAGGTCTTCCCATGGTGATAATGGTAATAATGATAATAATAATAATACGTAATAACATTTTTAAAAATGGCTCAGCAAGTCGTTAAGAGCACTGGTTCCTCTTTTGAAAGGACCAGGGATTCAATTCCCAGCATCCACATGGTGGCTCGTAACCATCTGGAACTCCAGTTCTCTGATGACTCTTCTGACTTCTTCAGGCAGACAAAACATCAGCACACATAAAATAACAATAACAAAAATAATAAAGACCGGGTGCTGGTGGAGCACACCTTTAATCTCAGCACTCAAGAGGCAGAGACAGGCAGATCTCTGATTTTGAAACCATGCTCTCTCTACAGAGCTAGTTCCAGGGCTACACAGAGAAACATTCTGAAAAATCCAAAAATAATGCATACATAATTTAAATATTTAATAGATACAGAATTTAGAAAATAAAGAAACTAAAATGAATCAAATCTAGGAAAGCAAAGTTCAGTGGACAGAGCACCTCCACTATCATGCATAAGCCCCTGGCTTCCATCCCCGGCACCCCATAAACTGGGCAGGGTGTAGCATGTCGGCGATTCAGCACTGGGGAGATTGTTGTTGGCTACACAGCAATTTCAAGGCCACCCAGGGCTACATGAGACCTTGTCTTAAAAAATAATAGAGGCTGGCACAATGGTTTGGTGAATAAAAGCACTTTGCTGCCAAGCCTCACTCTAGATCTCTGGATTCCACAAGGTGGCAGGAGAGAACTGATTCATGAAAGTTGTCCCCCGCCTGGCTATCACCAGCTGGCTCATGCCTTGCATACACACACACACACACACACACACACACACACACACACACACACACACACACACACCGCACATAACCAAACATAAATAAGTCTTAACACTAAACTGAAATTAACAGGACAGTGCACAAATGGTGAAACCAAAACTCCACGCCAGGCACAAACTCTGGAGATGGCAGGCAGAGGTGTGTGTGTATGTGTCTGTATGTTCATGTTCAAGACTAGATATGGCCAGGAGCGAGAGTTACAGCCTGAAGAAATCTTTCAGGTTTTTTTTTTTTTTTTTTTTTTCTTTTTTTTTTTTTGTCCATTTGCTTTTGAGTCTTGAGCTTCACTTTGTAGCCCAGGCTGGCTTTCATGGCAATCCTCCAGCCTGGACCCTACCATGCCTCTACCCTACCATGCCCATCTAGAATTTTAGATTTACAGAAAACTTACAAAGATAGTTCAGAGGATTCCTAAGTAGGCCACAGTCATCTGAGCCATATTATATTTTAAATATTTCATTTGTGTGAGGTCCTCCAGCCCCGGAACTTGAGGCATCATGTATGCTAGTCAGGTGCTCTGCCTGAGCCACACCCAAACCCCTCACCTTCTGTGATAATGACTTGTGTCCTTATCAGGCATGACCTAGTTAGCTGGAGGCTGTCTCTACTGGAGCCCCTCATTTTCTTCCTGGTGTCTTTGCAATGATGCAAACAAATGGGCTGGAAACTCAGCACCCACAGACCTGTGTGACTGTAATCTGAGGGGGCCATTTGCCGTGCTGGGGATCTCCAACATGGCATTAGTGGATGACTTTTAAGAGGACGAGCTGGGTTGGCTATGGTGGCACCCAACTGGGATCCTGACATTTGAAAGGCTGAAGGAAGCAAACCTCTGAGTTTGAGGCCAGCTTGGTCTACACAACAAGTTCCAGGACAGCCAGGGCGGTCTCAAGAGAAAGGGAAAGTGACTAGGACAGGATTCCTGGGAATTCAAGACCACCTTGTGTTACTTAGTATTTGAGCAAACTTGGAATGACAGTAAGATTCCCACTAACCCAAGGGAGGCACAGCAGATAGCTCAGTAGATAGAGACACTTGCCACCAAGCCTAAGTCCCAACCCTGGGTCCACATAGAGAAAGATAGCTGACTCCCATGAGGTGCCTCTCTCGCCTCACATACTCAAGCACAAATTGGCACACACATACCCACTCCCACTCATCTGTGCCCCCACACACAATAAATGCAATATATTTCAATTATATGACTTGGTGGCAAGGCATGAGTTGGATGTTTGTTCATCTTCATCACTGCAAGCCTTCATTCTTGATATATGTTCCATGCCTGGCCTCTTGATCAAGCTGCTGTCACCAGGCTCTGGGTAATGTCCTGTAGCAGTGGCCGGTAGAGGCTTGGTCAGTGTTGCCTGGCAGATGGCCAGGAGTCAAAGGTCAGGGGATCAGGGTAGTGCTTGGGAGCCCAGAACTGCAGAAAACACATGGGGAGGGGATGAAGGGACAGACTGAGGCTCCATGAACAGCTGTGGGCCAGCAAGGGGGTGGTGGTGGCCCAGGAAGAGGTGAGGAGGAGGAGGAGGAAGCAGAACGGAGGAGGAACACAGCCACACACGACAGACAGGCAAGATGCATTTAGGGACACTTCCCATTTTCTTAGCATGGCATAGCATCAATGACACACAGTCCAGTCTCCATGGTGCCTGAGCATCAGGATCCTCACTCAGGCCTTTCTGTGCTGGAGCGAGGGGATATTTGAGTCTTCATCACGGAAGGGCTTGGGTGTCAGGTTGACACAGGGTTGTGGTTCCTGAGGTATGGGAGGTGGGAAAACACCAGTAGATGGCACCAGGGAGCCTAGGGATAGGGTTGTAGGATACCAACTTGCAGGAGAGGCCTCAGGACCACGCCACCAGTGTGGACAGAAGCAGGAGAGGCCTCAGGACCACCCCCAGCCCCAAAGCGGTGGGGGGAGGAGGGGTGGCCATGCTGGAAACTGGTGACAACTATCTCAATACATTACCAAGGCTGTGAGGAGACAGAAGTATTGGGGCTGAGTGCAACAGACCTGCCTGTACTTGCAGGGACACACAGAAGCCACTTAGCAAACGTGTCCCCACCTCCCAAACACATCCCACTTATAAAGACTGTTGATGCTACCGGGTTCTCCACCTCCTGCTCAACACACTGGAGTGGCAGAAAGATTCCAGAAACACAGGGAAGAAATAAACAAAACAATGCCAGGGAAACATGTCAATGCTCTGGGAGCTGAGTGTTCAAATCAGTCTTTTCGGAAACTTCTGTAGGGTTGACATACTAAGTCACGTGGGACCCAAGCACACACGCCGGGCACACTGTGCAGTAACCATGACACATGTGCATTCAAACTCATTTATAAACCAAATAGTAACAATTAAAAAACAAACAAAAATCAAACATACATGCGCATACACGCACAGAAACTTCCAGAAAGTGGCTGTCTGTAGCTGTTAGCAGGCTTCTGGTGTGTCAATGACATTTGATCTCACAGACACAATACTGATGACACAGGGCCCACAGTTCAAAGTCAACACACTCCTGGGCCTCTTGCTTCTAGTACATTCTTGAAGAGCTCTCTCCAGCAGGCTGTGGAAACCTCACTGGCTGGATGGCAGCATTAGCGACGGCGGCGGTTCCTCTCCTCCAGGAGTTCATTGTCAAAGATTTCCTTTTCCCTTCAGGAAACAAGAGATGGCCATGAGACGCCAGGGTCAAGTGGGCATCTACAATCATACAACCAGTGGGGCGATGCAGGCTGAGCTGGTACATTTATGCACTAAAGAAAAAGGCCACGAAAACAAAGACGGGCCAAGTGGTGGTGGTGCACGCTTTTAATCCCAGCACTCAGGAGGTAGAGGTAGGCGGATCTCTTCTGAGCTCAAAAATCAGCTGGTCTACAGACAAGTTCCGGGACAGCCAGCATTACACCGATAAACCCTGTCTCAAAACATTAACAAAAAACAAAAAAAACCCACAACTCTCCCAGGTGAACTTGAGATGGACTTCATACAGGCTAGATGAAAATCAACCCCAGGGTGACTTTTTCTTTTTCTTTTTTTTATGTGTGTCTTACATAGTTCAGGCTGACTTTGAGCTTACAGCAATCCTGCTTCACTCTGCCTGCCCACACTTACTCTAAAGAATATTATTTGAGGAGCTGGAGAAGTGGCTCATTGGTTGGGACAAATTGCTGATTTTGCCAAGGACCTAAGTTCAGTTCCCAGCACTCACATGGTGGCTCACAAACATCTATAACTCCAGTCCCAAGGGACCCAATGCCCTCTTCTGACACCTACAGGCACCAGGCACACACACACACATGCAGGTAAAGACTCATATTCATAAAACAGGCACATCTAAAAGTAGAGGATTACTTTGGGCATGATTGGGCAGTAAGCACTTCCTTGTAGGAACAAAGACCTACATCAGCAGAGCGCACAGTGGTGGGCGGGCCTTGCTCACCAAGCACACACAGGCACACACATACACACACGCTCACAATATGGAGACCAGAGGTTGACATCAGACATTGTCCCGCCATCTCCACCTTGGTTTTGGAGATAGGGTCTCCCACTGAACCTGGTCCTTGCTGATTAGGCTGCTGGCCTTCAGTCCAGAGTGTCGTCCTGTCTCCACCTTCTCAGGGCTGGAACTATCAGCATACACAACCACTCCCAGCTTCTTACACGGGCGCTGGGCAACACCAGCACTTTAATGGCGGAATGAGACATCCTCTAGCCTGGGTAGCCCAGACTGGCCTGGACCTCAGGCTTCCAACACTGGGATAAGAACAAGTACGGTGCCCTTGACTGTTGGAAGCTGGGGAAGGATGGACGCAGCCTTGAGCGCTGGTCCCAGGGCTTTTGCTGCAATGTCAACCTGGTGTCTGGATCTTGAAAATGACAGGAGCTTCCCTCCCTGGGCAGTGGGCCCATGGGAGCCTCCATCTAACCTGGCTGCTGTGACGTTGAGAAGCCCTGCCAGTGGCTCACGGCCGCCTGGGGATGCCGACTCATTAGGGGCAATGTGCTCCAACATGCCAGGGCCTGGCTTACGGCTCAGGATAGAGAACCTATTGCAGTGGCGGCGTCCTCTGCCTGTTCACTGCCCTGCCCCGCCTGGCTCCCACTGAGGTCTGGCAGCGTGCCCAGAGGTTGATTAGAGGCTCTGAGGCCACACTTCTCAGGAGTGCAGCAGGCTGACGGGAGAGGTGTCTTCATCCTGCTGCACTGCTGACGGCTGCACTGCTGACGGCTGCACTGCCTCTTAATCTCGCTCTGTGCCCATCACCAGCCACACTAGAGCAGGTGGGGCAGAGACCACACTGCCCAACACAAGGACATTACAGGGGTCTTAGGCAGCACACGCGACCACAGGGGAGCTGCTGCCCAGCCCCAGGATCCTGGCTTGCATCCAGCCTGGCTCAGAGAAACAGCCTGCAGACCTGGGCCTCCGTCCAGCCCCTGTGAACTGACACACAGGATCTGCACCACCTTGTGGCTACTGGGAGACACAGCACAGCACAGCAGCAAGGGGACCTACCGGTAGCTAAGTGTCGGGCCGCGGATGTACTTCTGCTCAGCTGTCTTGTAGTCCACTGACTCCACTGCAGAGATGGCACAGATGATTGCCTGGGGAAGAGTGGAGGGACTCAGCAGGCAAAGAGCCAGCCTGGCATGCATGAGGCCCTGGGGTCCACACCCAGCATCACATAAACCAGGTGTGACACACACCTGTCACCCCAGACCCTAGGGACACTGAGGCAGAAGATCAAGGTTACCCTCAGCTACATGGCAAATTCAAGGGCAGCCTGGACTACATGAAACCTTGTCTGACTGTATAACAGTTCTGACAATCAGGAACTCAGGGAACTACCTGAGTTAATTTTTTGAAGGTAGTCACACTGTGGTTTTGGCAAATATATGTTTGTTGTTTGAAATTGTCTTTGCTGGGCGTTGGTGGCACACGTTTAATCCCAGCACTCGGGAGGCAGAGGCAGGGGATCTCTGTAAGTTCGAGGCCAGCCTGGTCTACAGAGCTAGTTCCAGGACAGTAGGGCTACACAGAGAAACCCTGTCTCAAAAAGCAAAAACAAAAACACAGAAAAAAAAGTCTCATTGCAGTTTAGGTTGGCCTGGAAGTCAGAAGCCTCTTGCCTCAGCAGCTGTGTGCTGGGATGACAGACCTGCACAACCACACCTTGGTGACAGGGTCTTTCTTATGAGGTTTCGGCCCTTCACTCTGGATAAGGAGTGAAGCTGTCCTCTGCAGGAGCCCCCAGGCCTATGGCACATAGGCTTAGCGGTATCTAGGACACCTGCACCATCAGGAGCTCCCTGCTTGGGATCGTCATACCCAACCCCAGGCATTACGAAGCCCTGAGACAGACAAAACCACCCAGTTTTAAGTTACACGTTGAAGTAGTTCTGGGTGACTCCAGGGGCCAGGTGTGGAAATCAGACACACCACCCAAGTACTTAGGAGGCTGAGGAGGAGGACCTTCAGTTTGAGGCCAGCCTAAGTTACAAAGCTAGCACACAGCCCTACCCATAGCAATAAAGCAACTGGATTGTGAAGATGAAGGTCTGTCCAGGGTCACAAGCTGGCCAGCTTCTTTAACTGACTTGCACTTGCTCCTCCTGGAACCCTTAGCATGGGTCCTGGGGCACCTACCTCAGGCAGCAGCACGTCCAGGACGAAGCGAATGCGGTCCCCACTGCCGCGTGCAGGCACCTCACCATCCATGTCTCGGCAGATGCCTTGCAGGTATTCTACCACCTCATCCAGTTGTGCCTCATCCTCCAGGTATGTCTCCACACATGTCACGTACTGGCCAGAGCTCAGGAACGTTTTCAGCCAGCGTGAAGGCTTGCGGCTGTGCAGGATAGCCCGCAGGTGGCTCTCTGCACCCTTGGCCTTCACAATGTACTCCACCAGTTTCTGGTTGGCTCTGTCCCGCGCAGCCCTGGAGCGGTCGGGCAGCACCTTCCTACATGGCCGCCACTGTCCTGGCCGGCTGTCCCCCACAGGCTCCTCAGCGTCCCCTTTGCCCAGCTGAGGAAACCTGGTTCCTAGGACATCCTGTTGGATGGACTTGCGCACAGGGTGGCCTGCAAGGGGAAGACACACTGGGAGCTGTGTCCCTTCAGCTCCCAACTCTCTTCAGAGTCTCATGCTCATGAGGAGAATCCTCGCTCTGGGGACCATCAGGTGCACCAGCTAAATGCCCCAGTGTGAAGGTAGCACTCCTCAGACCTGACACACAGCTGCCCACCTGACAGGGATGCAGGGCAGAGGGGGCAGCTGAGGTCACAGAGCTCTGCGCATGTACCAAGAACAGCAGGAACTCAACATGACAGTCTCTCAAGGACCCATGTTGAAGAACACTTATACGTACTGATATCAGCAGCGTAATATTCCAAGAAAGATCCAGCAAAGGAGCCGCAGCCTGTGGAGGGCACGAGAAAGGGCTGTGCTCAGACTGTGCCCTGCCAGGTCCTGTGGCTCAGGACTCCTGGGCAGGAGCTTTCTGGTCTGTGCTTGGCCCTGAGGCAGGTCTGTGGGGTGCGAGTCTGTCCACTGCCCCAGGAAGGAGCTGCCAGGGGCTCAGGTGACAGCCAGTCACCACAGAGGCAGTGCCGTGCAGAGAAGCTGGGCCTTCAGTCAGGAGGGCTGCACCTGCTCCCACCTTCCACAGAAACAGTATCGTCACAGGTCAGCCAGGCCAAGACAGGATGTAGGACAGGGACCACATCCACCTCAGCCCCTCCATCCTGCCCTCAAGAGTTGCCAATGGTGTTGCACACCCCCTCCCCAGCCCCACACACACCCTGGGGTACAGCCCACATACCCAGCCGCACACGGTAGTCAGTGATAAGCGAGACACACCAGCCGATGGCCTGGGCGAAGTCCTCCTTGGCTCTCTCCTACAAAACCAACAGCAGGGCACAAGGGGCTGTGGCAGCCCTAAAGGCACCAAGCCTTCGTTTCCTGGCTCCAGACTGAGGCAGGTGTGACCTGGCCCTATCAGGGGTATGACAGACAAGCCTCTTCAGGTGAAGCAGCCAGCAAGCCACCAGACTGACAAATTGACCTTTTTGTTCTTTTCTAGACAGAGTCTCATGTAGCCCAGGCCTTGTCTATAACCAGTGCAGGCCTTTCAACTCCTAACCCTACTCAGCTTCTAACTAGCACCCCGCACTTGACCTGTGGGTATGGGCCACCCCCCCAGTCACCTTGGGGATGCTGTATCCCACACCCAGATTTGTGTGCATGCTGCGCACATGTGTGGAGGCCACAGTGGCTGCTGGGTACTGTCCTCAGCTGATCTACCTCTTGGTTGAGACAGTCTCCCTGAACCAGGAGCTTGTCCGACTTGGCTAGACTGGCTGGTCAGTGAGCCTTAGGGATTCTCCTGTCTCTGTCTGCCAGGGCTGGGGGGGAACAGCCATGTACCACTCCAGTGGGTTCCCCTTCCAGTGGGTTCTGGGAACCACACTCAGGCCCTCATTCTGGTACACTTTACTGACTCAATGTTAATGATGACATGCCAGGTGTGTCTACATCAAACAGAACTCATTCAAAATAGCCTCAGTGCCCACAATGCCTACTGTTTTCCAAGGATGCCACTCAAAAGGACCGACCATAATGGCCATGCTCAGGAGCACCCAACTGCTCAGTACAGACCCCACAGCCTGGTGCTTTGGTCTTTGAGTAAATAGAACAAAATAAGTGTTCCTAGCCAGGCAGATAAGGTTCATTCAGGAAAGCAAGTTCAAATCCCCAGAAGCACGTAAAATCAGATGTGGCAGAGCATTCCGAGGATGAGACAGGAGAATCCAAAGAGTCAGAGGGCCAGTGAGCCTGGGGCACACAGCACAGTGGAAAACAAGGGGCAAGGACCAACACCAGAGGCTGTCCTCTAACCTCCACAGGGCGGCCTCAGCACACTAACAGAAATACCAACACAATTGCACACATACGCATGTGCACACACACACACACACCCCATAGACCACCACCTACCAGCAATGTGTGCTTTTCCTTACAGTCAAAGTGCTTGAGCCTTCGAAGAGACACGGTGATTCTTGACAGAACAGAGGCCAAGGTCAGCACAGGTAATTTCATCCCAGGGGAGGTACCCCCTCCTCTGAGACTTAACCCCACTGTGGGCTGCAGCACCTCTATGGCACTGGGGTCCAGGTCCCTACCACAACCAGCCACCCTCAGGTATACACAAGTGCCCAGGGTCACCATCTGTAAGGTGACTGAGGGGCCTCTGAGATCACTGTGAGGAGGCTGGTCAGCTCATGTCTGCTGCTGGCATGGCGGAGGACCCTGAGACAAACTGGCCAGATCTAGTTCAACCAAGAACCATATTCTGCTGAAGTTCTGCTGCTGTGCAACATGACATGGGGACCTGGGCACAGACTCTAGCTATCTGGTTGAAGCACCAAATGGCACTGTGGACGCTGGACTGTGCCAGCAGCTCCAGTCAGGGCCACCACAGAGGTCTCCGCCCCTGCCCAAGCCCTTTAGAGTACTAACCCTCGGCCTTTGGGGTTCATGTTGCCCTCAATGAAGAGCACGCTGGCTTTCTTGTCTCTCCTCCGGACGCTCTTGACCTGTGGGCAAATTGGGACAACACAGCATGATAAGGGGCAGAGGTGGTGATCTCCACCTCTTCTGAGGCCCTCTCTGGGACTGGGCCTGCCAGCCTGGTGCTGGGATGTGATCTGCTTCAGGCCCCCATTGCTTCCTGGGACTCTGTTTTTTGTTTTTTGTTTTTTGTTTTTTTTGGTGCATGGACATGCTTTGCTTTCTTCCGCATTAACTTCAAGCCAATTTTTTAAAAGGGTAACTGTGGTGGAACACAGCTGTAATCCCAGGCTCGGTGGTATTATGAGGTAATACAGCCAATTCTTCATTTGGGTCTTGCTTTTAAATATTTGCATGCACACATGTGCAGAGTTTGCATGCACACATGTGCAGGGCACATGTGTGGAAGCCATGGACAACCTCAAGCCTCGGCCCTTGCTGTCCACTGGTTTGAGACAAGGTCTCTTTGTCAGTGTATGTACCAGACTATCTGTAGAGTTCCCCTGTCCCTGCCTTCTACCCCTCGAAGGATAGCAGGCACACAGAGCCTGGCTCTCTGTGAGCTCTGAGAGCTGAACTCAGGCTTTCATGCTAGTGCAGCAAGCACTTTACCCACCAAGCATGCCCAGTTTGCTTTTTAGTCTCATGTAAACTGGGTGGCGGTGATGCACGCCTTTAATACCAGCACTTGGGAAACAGACAGGCAGATCTCTGAATTTGAGGCCAGCCTGGTCTACAGAGTGAGTTCCAGGAAAGCCAGGCCTACACAGAAAAAAAAACCCTGTCTTGAAAAACAAAAAAACACCACCAAAAGATAGTTAGGTGTGAGGGCAGCGGGGCATGAATGCACCTAGGGCTGCCCTCGTCACAGCAAGCTCACCTGACACATAACAGACCTTCCGTGGGGCTAAGACACCCTTTTTTAAAAAATTATTTTGCTTTTGAGACAGCTCTCATGTAGCCCAAGCTAGCCTCCAACATTCTCATGTAGCTGAAAACTGCACTCTGGATCCTCCTGACTTAGCCTCCAGTGTGCAGGGATTTACAAGCGTGTGCCACCAAGCCCATGGCATCAAAGGACCTAAACTCAGGGGTCGGGATGGAGGAAACTTGAAGCATCCATTCCTGAAGCTCGGTAATGCGCATGCTCACACAGGCTTCCTGGAGGTGGCTTGGCTTTCATCAACTAACCAGGTCCTGTCAGAGTCATCAGTCATCAGGGCCTGAGCCTCCAGAGCCACCAGCCTGCATGTCTGAGTAAGGGGAGGAGCTTAGATGAGGGACCTGATGCCCACAGCAGGCGGCAGGTACACTTACCACAGCTGGCCAGAACGGGTATTTTTGGTATTTAAGCCAGACCAGCATTCCTACTTCAAACGATCGTGGTTCTAGGATTAAAAGGAAGGAAAAGAAGGGCTGAGTCAAATCTACCTCAAGTATGTTATAGACAGAAAAAAAGAAAACCCGAATTCATCACAGCATCTTTTTTTTTTTTTTTTTTTTTTGGTTTTTGAGACAGGGTTTCTCTTTATTGCTTTGGAGGCTGTCCTGGAACTCTCTCTGTAGACCAGGCTCACAGAGATCGGCCTGCCTCTGCCTCCCAAGTGCTGGGATTAAGGGCGTGTGCCACCTACGCCCAGCCCACCACAGCATTATTTAAACCCAACTCTAACCTGATCTACCAGGAAACCAAGACGTTGGGGGCAGACACAGGACTCACAGAATGGGAGTCTCAGAGCCCGTGATGGGCCATGAGGCCATGACTGTGTGTGTCCTGTGGCCAGAGATGAAGTCAGCAGCAGGATGGATGAGTTCCACCCTAAAAAACCCATCTCTAAGTCTAATGTCCTTCAAAAATTAGACATTTAGATAACAGCATCCATGCCAGGTGCAGCTCGACACCAAAATGTAGATTATATAATCACATGGCTCACAGAATAAATTGTCCTCCCAGGAACACCAAGTTCAAGGAATCCGAGAAACTGAGGTCACAAAATACAGGAAACACAATATTCTCAGAGGAGGAAAAGTCACTCTTTGCTATGGTTTGAGAGAAGGTCTCTGTAGATCAGGTGGCCGTGGAACTCAGAGATCCTGCCTCGGCCTCCCAAGTGCTAGGGTGACAGGCATGCAACCATGCCTGATTTATGGGGTACTGAGGATAGAGCTGAGACCAGGGCTTTATCAGTGCCAGACAAGTGTTCTGCCACAGAGCCACAGCCGTGACTTTGCTATCTCTCTCTCTCTCTATCCATCCATCCATCCATCCATCCATCCATCCATCCATCCGGGTTTTTTGAGACAGGGTTTCTCTGTGGCTTTGGAGGCTGTCATGGAACTCGCTCTGTAGACCAGGCTGACCTCGAACTCACAGAGATGAAGTCAGCAGCAGGATGGATGAGTTCCACCCTATAAAACCCATCTCTAAGTCTAATGTCCTTCAAAAATTAGACATTAGGTAACAGCATCCACTCTGCCTCTGCCTCCCAAGTGCATTAAAGGTGTGCGCCACCACTGACCGGCTTTTTGTTTTTTGTTTTTGTTGTTTTTTGGTTTTTCGAGACAGGGTTTCTCTGTGGCTTTGGAGCCTGTCCAGGAACTAGCTCTTGTGGACCAGGCTGGTCTTGAACTCACAGAGATCCACCTGCCTCTGCCTCCTGAGTGCTGAGATTAAAGGTGTGCGCCACCAACACCCAGCTGTTTTTTATTTTTAAGGCAGGATTTATTATGTAGCCCAAGCTGGCTTTCAACTTGCAGGGATCCCTGTCTTTAGCTTTCTGCATAAGCTTAACATTTTCTATTCACCAAGAGTCCCAGAATGAGGAGCCTGGTATAAACTGACTTTTAAAGCTTTAAGCACCAGGAAAGCCAGCAGAAGTGGAGGAACGTCGCCATGCCTCCCACGAAAGGCTATGAAAGGCTCCTTGAGGCTGGCAGGTACTTGGGGAAGAGGTGACATGGCTCTGAGGAAGGTGACAACCCATCCAGAAGAGGCACCAAGCAACTCACAGACCCTGGCTGGGGTCTGGCAATTGTGGTGAGCTTGGTCTGGTGGGTTAGGAAGCTATCAGTTCAAGCCTGCCATGGAAGGACACCAGATGCCAAAGATCCTAATGTCTGGAAGCTGAGGTCCCTCTGCAGTCAGTATGCTCTAATCTTTGGGACTGACCTAAATGATGACCTGCAAGGTACAGCTCACACAAGCACCCAGGTCCTCTATTATTCTAGGTGCTCAACGTGTACTCAGCCCTGGGACTCATGCACACTTAGAAAGAACAGGAGGTGAGTTGGGGATGGATTAGTGCCTCACTAATACTGGCACTCTTGCAGGCGTCACCTGCCCAGGAGGCTGCTGACAGTTTCAGCTGCCCTGTATCATCTGGGCCACACTGTGCAGCTTGGCTGAGGGGAGGCCCGGGGTTCCTCAGTGGCTGAGCCATCCCTGTGCACTCAGCAGCCCTGATTCACAGATCATTCTCGGCTGCACACCCCATCCATGGAGTACTTTAGGGAGGACCTGCACTTCCCTGGATGGACACGGGTCCCTGCTCCACTGGCAAAAGTAGCTCTGCCCAACTGAGGGCAACAGAGCCTATGTCTGTATCCGGCAAGGGAGTAGGGGCAATGCTGGCTTTCCATGCATGGCTGCTACCTCTCTCCTAAGTCCTCTGCCGGCGACAGGTCTCAGGTCAGAGCATAAAAACTGCATAGTGCCAGGCAGCGGTGGCGCACGCCTTTAATCCCAGCACTAGGGAGGCAGAAACAGGCGGATCTCCGTGAGTTCGAGGCCTGCCTGGTCTCCAGAGCGAGTGCCAGGACAGGCTCCAAAGCTACACGGAGAAATCCTGTTTCCAAAAAAAAAAAAAAAAAAAAAAAAAAAAAAAAAAACTGCATAGTGCCAGGTATGGAGGTGCACACCCTTCATGCAGGGGGATCTCACTGACATCAGAGGCCAGCCTTGTCTACACAGCAAGTTCCAGGCCAGTTAGAGACACACAGAAAGACCCTGTCTAAAAACACAACACCACCAGCACCGAACGAGATGGCTTTATGGAGGGCTGTGCAGAGTGGGGCCCTCACCCAATACTCTCAAGCAGAGCAGCCTCTCACCATGATACAGAAGGATCCGGGGTGGCTCCTCCTCTTCCTCCTCCTCGTCCTCTAGCAGGGAGTGGATGGACTTGAACCCCGTGGACTCTTCTGATGACACAGGATCTGCTGAGACAGGGGGACACCACTTGATGGCCACCCCTCACCCTGCAAAGGGCTAGAGACAAAGGGCCTTCTATGACAAAGGACAGAGCCTGCACAGAATTCAACAAGGGAGCACCTCGTGGTCAGGTCTGTGTTTGTCTTTAAAACTGTCTACATGTACTTGTGTGTGCTCCTGAATACGTGTTGTGTGTATGTGTATGCTTGTATGAGGTCTGTGTATGCATACATGTGTGTCTAAGCATGTTTGTGTGTGTGAGCGCATGTTGTATGTTTGTGTCTGTGCATGCTTATGTGTGCATGTTTGTGTGTGCACTCGAGCACACACATGGAGGTCAGAACTACTTTGTGGAGTTAGTTCTCTCCTTCCACCCTGTGGGTTCCTGCGATCAAACTCAGGTCACTAGGGGCTGGAGAGATGGCTCAAGAGTTAAGAGCACTGGCTGCTCTTTGAGAGGTCCTGAGTTCAATTCCCACATGGTGGCTCACAGCCATCTGTAATGGGATCGAATGTCCTCTTCTGGTGTGCAGGTTTATATGCAGAGCATTCATACATAAAATGTAACATTAAAATAAAAAACTCAGTCACTGAGCTTGGTGACAAGTGTCTTCACCGGCTGAGCCACCTCACTGGCCTCTCCTTTCTGCTTAAATTCTGGCGCTGGAGTCTCCCTTGCAAGTGCTCTAGCTCTGAGCTGCAGCCTTTTAAGATGTACTTCATCTTAAAATAAACAGGAAGAGAAATGGAGAGCAGCACTCAGAGACACAGAGTGGGAAATGCAGGTGGCAACTCTATCTGCCATGTGGATACACACAGAATGGGCCCCAGAACAAAAAGGTGACTGTAAACAAGGACAGAGACAGTCCCCAAGACACAGTGCAGGGGATCGGGTACCCTGCAGCCCGTGGCCAGGCACAGGATGGCCTTGTGAAGGGCCCCACTGTGTCCTACGTCCCCAAGACTACACAACTGATTCCTGAATGCCCCTGGCAGAGCTCAGTGGGTCAAGACAGGTTTAGATGGGACCAGTCCCTGGCTGCAGCCACACACAGGTTTCAGAATGACTTCTGACAGCTCCTGAATCTAAGCTTCCTAATGTCCTGAGCACCCCCGTCACTTGCTGGGAGTATGCTTTTAACAACACTAACTGCTCCCCCAGCTCTGCCTGAGTCCCCACTCTACTCAAACACAAAGACAAATATTTGGGAGAAGAACCTGTTAAAACACTACAGAACCCCACAGCAGGTGTCCCCTCCCATGGTTACCTTCTTCTGGTTTGTCATTGTCACCAGCACTGCGCAGTACCATAGCCTCCCCAGACCAGCTCCTAAGGGAGGGCACTGCCCCCACAGTTCCAGTTCCCAGCTGCCTGGCCTGTGGGTTCTGGCCTCCATCCAAGCGTGGCCTCTTTGTTGGGTGTCGTCTGCCTCTCTCAGAGGCCGGGAGCAGCCTGCTGCTGCCTGATGGTACAACCCGGTCAAAGCCTTTCACCCCAGCACAGGGGTCCTCTTCCCAGGTTTGGGAGAGCAACCTTGGTGAAGCTGGGGTCACACAGCTGCTTGCCTGTCCCTCGTTCTCTACAACACTTTCTCCCTTAGAAAGGCGAGACTCGGTTTTGTGGCGCCGGGTAGGTTTCTCTCCCAAATCCCTCCGCCTCTTACTGGTTGTGTCCTCCTGTCCACGGTCCAGTCGTGACCCAGAACTGTCCCGAGACCCATCTCCAGTGGGGGAAAGCAATGCTGCCCTTGGGGTTCCATTCTTTGAGAGGCCTGTCTTACGGTCCACTTTGCACCTGGGGTCCTCTTCGGATGCAGACAACCCTGACAGGCTTTGTGGGACATATTCCCACCTACTCTTGGATATGCGCTGAGCAGCCACGTCTTCACCATCTTCACCGTGGAAAGATAGAGAGGGAGCACTGGGGATCCAAGAGGCCATATCTGCGTGTGGCTTCTCTTTTTGGGACAATGTGGTCTCGTCTTTCATCAGATGGCTTTCAGGACTCAAATTGGTCCTCTCATTCAAGAGATCCAGGGCTACTCGCAGGGAGCGTCGGTAGGTCAGCTCCTCCAGGGGAGCAGCCGGGACCTCATTCTGAGAGGCTGTGGAGACAGAGACAAAGATACACACAATGAGAACCCCTCCACTCAAGTGCCTAGGGCTTAGCATTGCAGCCATACGGCGGCAGACTCCATGACCACACCATGTGCCTGGCACCCGTCTCTACCAAGTAACAGGCAGGCCTGGCACTGCTCTGCTGTGTCCCCCACAAAAAGAGGACAAAGCCAAGATATGGCTATACATTCACTTTGGACTATGATCGAAGAACAGCACACACCCAGAATGACCTCAGCCTGACTGGCTGACTGCAAAATCCCTCCAAGTTCTAAAACAATGCTGTGTATAAACATACCTGAGTGTGTTGCACTGTTTATTTGAATGGAGTATCTATCGGGGACGGCTTCATACTCTCGGGCACACTGCCTGCTTAATAAATACTAAAAGGTACTTACGAGCAAGCAGCCCTCAATACTCCAAAGCAGCACTGAGGATGCCCTTGCTCTCTCAGCAAGGTGGCCAGCACCCTGGACAGCTGTGGGCTCCAGGAGATAAAGCCCTCGCTTTGGCTGCCCTGGCCCCATCTCTGCTGTTGTGACTCACACTCTCAATCCGAGCGCAAGGAGCCCGACACTGGCGCTGCTGGGTGTGACTGCCTGCATCTTGGACCCTTGCTGTGTGTGCCCGCACCAGGTCTGGAGTGGGGTGCACAAGAAGTCTAGCTCAGCCACAGGAGGAAGGGGTGGAGGCTGCTGAACTGAGGCACTACACACACAAAGGAAGCAGAGTTCTCCCCGACACGCAGCCAGACTCATCCCACCAGCAGTACATGCAGGTAACACGGGAGTGGCAGCTTGAAGGCTGACCACTCTGTCCTTGCTCCCCTGGGCTTTTTAATTGGCAATTTATGTGTATATGTATATCTGCATGTATGTTATATGTGTCTGTATGTTCTGAATGCATGTGTGTCCCTTAAGTCTGGCTGTCTATTGTGTATGCATGCAGTGGTTCCAAAGACTAAATACAAGGCTTCATGCGAGCAGGGCTCCTATCACAGTGCTACGGCCCCAGCCCAGTATTTACTACTGAAGAGGCTGGCTGGCCTGGGATCTTCGATCCCACTAACTCTGCCTTCCCAGTCCTTCTGACACCACACTTCAAGGCCATTCCCATCCCCATATCATGGTCTCTGGGGCTCAGGGGATGGTCAGCTGTCTGCTCCTGTGGGAGCAGATGTCTTCTCCCATCCTCCTTGCCCATCACAAGGCTCACATCTGGCAGGTCTGGTTTTGGCTGGGGGTCTGAGAAGCAGTTGGTGTGTGGAGGACTCCAGCTGGAACCTGGGCCTGGGGTTCAATACCTGTGATCCCAGCTCTAGAAAGGCTGAGGCAGGAGGACTGCCACCACTTCCAGACCTGCCTGGGCTGCAGTATGAGACTCTCAAAAGTTAAGAAACACAGAAAAACATAGAAGCAGAGAACACAGCTCTGTGGCTGGCTCCCACCACCAGCACTGCCCAAACAAAAAGCCACAAACAAGCAAACAGAGCTAGCTGGCTCTGGAAGGGCTTATAAAGCAGATGCCCAATTGGGAGCAAATACCTGTGATATGCACAAGGCCCTGGGTCCTGTCCCCAGGACACATGAACACAACATCACAACACTGGGACTAAGAGCCTGGAGGATCAGGAGTTCAAGGTCAGCCTCTGCTATACAGTGATTTCAAGACCAACCTGGGCTACATGAAAAAAAAAAAAAAAAGCAAGCAAATCCATTTTTTTCTTTTGTGAGGTTGCCCATATGAAGACGTGTGGAGAGGATGGACCACCGTCACGATGCACACACAGCACCGCGGTGGCCTGGCTGGAGCCCTTACCCAGGAAGGCAGCGATGTTCTCAATGTGTGACTTCTGCAGTGCCTCCACAGCAGAGCTCTTCACCTGAATCCTGCGGCGACAAAGAGCCAGTTAGTGCCATCAGCCTGCAAACCCTACTGTCCAGATGTCCCTTTCAACCTTCCACTCACACCAAGTCACACTGAAGAAGGGACAGGGAGGGACACACTGCCTGAGGTGACAGGCAGCCAACCAGGGTGGATATGGCTTTTTTCCTCCCCACCCCCTGCTTTTAAGAAAGAAAAGGTCGGCTGGAGTTAAGAGTAAAAATAAATTCAAATTGGGACTTTCATGAGGCAAATCCGACTTTCAACTGCACAAATAACTCCTTTGTTAGGTTTTCTGAGTAGCCGCTAATGTCACTGAGAGCTGTTTACAGCCCAGCAGGCGCATTTTAGTTTAAAGGACGCGCTTTCCTTTTAAACTCAAGTATTCAATTACCTTCCCTGCCGCAGGGAGAGAGGGAGCTGGGGACTCTTGAGTGGTGGCGGGCTCTGAAGATGGTAGCAGGAAGGAGCAGGCCGGGGGACCCAGGAGACAGGCGGCCAATGGACTCTTCAGAAGTGAGGATTGTGACAAGGGACTGTATGCAGACCACACCCACATCGTCCTTGCAGATGACCCATGAAAGGTCACCAAGTGCAGGACAATAGAGTCCTGCCACCCATCTGCCTTTCCGGTGTGGAGAAATGTTTTTCCCTTAGTGGTGCGGTGAGCCTAGAGCAGCCTGGGATACTCTGGTCCTTGGTGAGAGGAGAGACCCCAGCATGGCTCCCTGGGGATAATTTCTACATATTCACCCTTGAGACCCCTCTCCCTGCAGATCCCTGCGCCTCATATAAGACCTTCAACTTGAAATTGGTGTCAAATAAAACCCGTTGTCCTCTCCACGAGGCTATTAGTGAGGAATAAGCCCAGAAGAAGCAGGCTTCTCTTCCTTTTGTGAGAATCATTTTGGAAACCGCAGACAGAAGGGGAAAGATAGTATTAAAAAAAAAAAAAGAAAAAAAAACTTAACTTTTCCTTTAGCGAGAGTATTTGAACATCTAGAAATAATTCTTTTTTTCTCCTGTTTTTCACTGAAGTCTCAGTTATGGCCAAAACCTATGTGTAAAAAAACATAAAAAAGAATTCTTGTTATGGCACTCTGAAGGGACCAACATGTGGCAAGCCCTTCCCAAAGTGATGGCCACAGGACTTAGACACCTAAGAGAAACAGAGGCACATTAGCCCATGGCCATCCCAGGTTAGGGCACAGGCTTAGCACTTCCTGCTAAATTGCCAGAAAGCACCCCCGAAACACCACAGTTATTATTCCCCTTCTGGGGGCTCCTAGACACTTCCTATAGTCGAAGCCTTCCACACCTTTTTATAGCTGAGTCTGGTTATTTTTTTTTCCTTAGTGTGAAAGATAATTAAATACAATTCCGGATAGAGAGGCTCCTGAGCGCCAGACCAAAACCCTGTGGAGTGAAGGGAACCTTGGGACTTGTGCCAGCAGATCTGAACGCCAAGCATTAAGGCTCAACTCTTTCTTCCAGAATCACTCCAAGGGAGCAGAGCCTGATAAAAACTTAATTATTGTCACCAAAAGTCATTTCTAATTCCACAAATTAGAATAAGGGCTGTCACCTTTGCAGGCCACAATCGCTTCTCCCATCGGCAGAGGACATACTTGGCATCCGTCATGACTCAGAGCTGTGGCAAAAGAGAGTCGCTATGCTCACGGTGCTACAGGGCCTGATGCCAGAGGTGCCCTGCAACAAAATGTGTATGATGGGTTAGAAAGGCATTTGCTTGCATTTGGGTGGCATTCACACAGACAGGAGCTTCAAGGGCAGAAGCTGGTCTCACACACAGCCTTAGGAGATAGGTCAATCAGGAACCCAGCCACGAGACAGTCAAGTGCAGGGTCCTGGGAGTTGGGGAAGTGGCTGAATTGTTTCCCTAAGTAAAACTCAATGGACTCCCCCTTCCCCGACCTCCAGCTTCAAGGTAGCACCCAGGACACCCACAGCAGCAACAGGCATTCCAGTCAAAGCTCACAACCCTCCAAGCCTCGGGCCTGACTGCAGCACACACAGGGCACACACAGCTGCCCCGTTCCCTGGAAGGACAGGGACAGATGCAGGCGTTCATGACATGACATCCCTGGCAGAGGCAGCCAGGGCTGTGGACAGAAATGGAAAGATGGGGGAGGAGAGATTAAAGCATCAGGAAGGACGCCAGGGACAAGGAGGAGACCCACCAGCAAAAACAAGGGTTTGCGTAGTAGAAGGGTTCATAGAAGCAGGAGAGGTTTCCAGAGGGGTACAGGCAGCAGGGATGGGAGTTTAGGAAGCAAATAAGGACTTCAAAGCAGGTATGGGAATTCAGATAACAAAAAATGGGGGGGGGGCTCTTAGCAGAGGGTCTGGGAAGCAAACACAGGATTCATAGCGAGGAGGTTCAGGGAGAAGAGTCAGGCAGGAGATGTGAACCAGGTTCACAGAATGAGAGCGGTAACGGGAAGAAAAGATGGGATTCATATAAGGGACTGAGATTTAGGCTGTAGAAATTGGGAGTTCAACAGGAAATACAGGGTTTGCACCAACGATGAGGTCAAGTTAAGGACGGGGGTAGCAAAGGAGGCAAAGACTAGGCCTCTGACATGAATCTCTAGGTTCACAACAGGGATAGGGTTCAAACAGGATATTTTGGGTTCGGAATGCAGAGAGGGGATCCAAAAGGAAGAAATAGGGGTTCAGGATTCGCAGTGGGGTTCACGCAAGAAATTCAGAGTTCTCTGCTGAGAACACAGATTCAGGCTGCAGAAATGTGGTACCAAGCAAGAAATTCGCCATTCAAGCTACAGAGAGGGGGGTCGAGTAAGGAATGTTGGGTTCACAATGCAGAGGTAGAGCAGAATTGGGTTAATACGGGGCTTCCAGCAGGAAATTCGGGATCTCAGCAGGGACACAGGTCCAGGCTGCAAAGAGTGGGGGAGATTAGGCAGAAAACACGGGGTTCAGGCTGCAGAAGATAGGGACCAGGCCGGAAATACGGGGCTCTCGGAGGGACAGGGACTGAGGCTAGAGAGGGGGATGGATTCAGGTAAGAAATACAGGGTCCGCAGCAGGAAACTGGAGGTTCTCAGCTCCCACGGGGCTCGGCCGCACATGGGCCCTGCGCAGAAGCGGACGCGGCCCAGCG